GTAGGTCTAGAGCCCATTTAAAACTTGGGTCCCATTATGATTAGTCCCCATTGAAATAGAACTGGACCTAATCACGTTGATAAGATTAAGTCGTGACCTGTTAAGTATAGTACGGAGGTCGACCATGTACCACTCCTTGACCCGTGTGTGTGTGTGTGTGTGTGTGTGTGTGTGTGTGTGTGTGTGTGTGTGTGTGTGTGTGTGTGTGTGTGACTCGGCATCAGACATCACGCACATGAGATGTTGGCATTTTTTGTGGTACAGTCAACAGGAAGTGGTACCCCTCCTCTCTCTACCCTCTCCTTACTTTATACCCCCCTCTCCATCTTCCTCCCTCCCTCTCCATCTTTCCTCCTCTATCCACCCCCTCCCTCTCCTCTTTCCATCCCCCTACCTCTCTCTCTCCCTCCTCTCTACCACCCCCCCGCTGCGTCATTTCAAGGAAGGTGTGTGTGGCAGGGGCGGTGACTGGTCAGATGGGCCTCTCTTGGAGTTAGTTTAGTCCTACTTTGTCCTTACCTAACTTAACTTTACATCACCTAACTCCACTCATCCTAATTTAACTCAGTCTAATCTAACCTAACTTACATCACCCTAACCTGATCTAAAATTTAACTTAATCTAACCTAACTGAGCATAATCTAGACCAACCTTACCTGACCTATTAATATGTGAGCCCCATCCTAATGGCTAAGGTAGTGGTCTGATAGAACTAGTTCCCATTAATGACATACGAATGGGTGGGTGATGGGTGGCAGAAAGTTCCACCCACCACCACTTAGGGTATGTGGTAGTGGTGGGGGGGGGGGGAGTCCTCACCCACTCCCTCACATGTTACTAAGTCCACAGGAATGCTGCACGTCTCCTGGATCACTGGCGAGGAATGTTGGCTCACGCCTTAAGTGGCAGATTATATATATTTATTTATATTTTACCCTAATCAGTTCGTGTAGGATCTATCTATCATCGTGTCCTTTGGCAGACTCGTGTGTGGGTGAGGGAGCAGGAGGGTGTGTTGGAAGGGGGGTACGGTTGTGGGGGGGAGGAGGTAGGCTGGAAGGAGTGAAGGGAAGGTTGAAAAGGAGACTGGTGGGGGGAGGGGGGTAGAGAGAGGGGGAGGGGGAGAGTGGCCTTCCAGGAGAGCGGCGCTGCGGGGGTGCTGGAGGCCACTACTGCCACCTGACCTTCACATACTGTACTCTCTCTCTCTCTCTCTCTCTTTTCTACTGTTTCGAGTTTTTACGATTTAATGTTTTCTGAAGGTCTGCCATGACTAAGATGTGGAAGTTTGTGGTGGTGGAGGGTGTGGTTACAGGGAGTGGTAGATTGGGTGTGGTTAGGAGTGGCTGACCAGGTGTGGTTAGAGGTAGTGGCAGGCTCTACTGTTCCCTGATCATGGTGTGTCTGTGTGTGGACCCTCCTGACCTTATCCCCTCCTCCCCTTCGCCATGCCACAACTGGGTCATCACACACACACACACACGAGAGGAAGATATTTGTATTGATAAGACACTGTATAATTTTCAAGTACCATCACCGATTAGAACACATGGATTTATGTTCAGTTACCATGATTGAAACTGTGTGAATTTAATTATTGTGTTGATACAGTTTTCTCTTATTTATACAGTGATTTAACAGAACCTGACCCACTGGAACTCGCTAACTCCCCTCTCCCTGTAGACGACGGAGCCATATTTCCAAATAGTTAGTTAAGACCTGGATGCGGGAGATACTGTCGTTTTGTTAATTAATTTCTTTAACATTACTTATACAGTACATAGTTCTTCATTACGTAGCACTGTATAATGTAAAAGGAATATATGTGCGTCTGTGATACCTATGAGTGTTTCTGTTGGGTCTGGCGTATGGTGACTCGCGTATGTTTGTGCGTTCAGTAGTTGTATTAATATGTACTGTATCATGCTTAAATTTGTGCGTAAAAGAATGCGTCGGGTAAGCTGCTGTTGGGCTGTGTGGCGGGTTGAATTTACCTGTAGTTAAGGAGGTTGAGGGAGGGAGCCCCGCCGCACGCCACGCCGCCAGCAGTCGATCACACGCAAGATGTAGAATTTGTAGAAACCGAGGAGGATGCTGTCTGAGGGCCAGGTATTTCCACACCCTGAAGAGATCTGTCTGATGAATGCCCTTCGAGCCATAATGGTGACGTAAGATTTCCAGGAAAGGTTAAAAGAAACCAGGTTGTCTTGGCCCTCCAGTGGTGGAGTGTGTGTCAGTCACGTCATTGGTGGAGTGAGGGAGGCTGGTGGTGTTTTTGCTCCTCCTGTCACAGATCGTCTCGGGCATTCCTCTGGCACCTCGTTATGTCTTGTTTCGTCGGTGTGTGTGTTGACCTCAAGGGGCCTTTTTTCTGTTAACAGTGACATTGTGTGTTTACTCCTGTAGAACAACCCTTTAGTTAGGTTAATGGTGGTTTAGCAAGCTTTTCTTTTTCCTTATGTGTGTCAGGGGGGCGGGTCAAGAACAGGTAACTCGCTTAGAGGTGGTTCACTGTTACCCAGCCAGAGTGGAGAAGTGTGCCATTGTTATACTTAATTACACAAATATTTCCATTATCTAAAATAAAACCATTATAACCAAATCATATTAAGCCAGTTATTTGTGTTATGACTTAAAGATTACACTGTTATTACCATTATCTAAACGAGACTCATTACCACCACACCAGCAGCGTGTTGCGTCATCACCAGGTGCAATGTTGTGGCTTGTTAATTAGCAGCATTTGGGTCTAGCATGTGGCCTACTCTTTATACACAAGAATTTATATCTAGCCACCTTTGGCACATCTCTCGTATATCTACAGTACAGTACACCTTTTTGTTATGACCAAACACCTGACTTAACCATAACTCGTGTCTGTGGGGACCTTTCTTTAACTATTTAGGCCACACCTGTATAGAGTTACCTTGTTCCAGTTTGTCACCTCGTAATGTCGAAACTTCTTACTTTTGACTCATATTGACATTTTCCTTTGTATTCAGTATTCAGCCTCCTGACGCCTCACCTATCTGGGCTAGAGTACCATACCTAACAGGGTAGTACCATTGTCCTCACGTCGGCAGGTACAGTAGTTAAGGCGAGTACCCAGTAACCTAGCGGCTCATTCTTTCAGATACTAACTCCTTTATGTGTCCCAGTCAGATCGAAGAAAAGAATCCTACCCCTGGTATGCCTTAATGTAGGGTTGGGTTACGTGTAGGATTTTTAAGTATGGCAGCTCGATGGTCAGTTGAACTTGATGATCGTATGGTATGATTTTTTTTAGTAGGATCGAGTGTGAGGTGTGTGATATGGATCTTGTGGTATGGTATTTTTAAGTGGGAAGGGGATAGGCCCGTGATGTATGAAGGAGAGGTATCTGTGTGTGTTAGGAGAGTAATAATCCACTCCCTCGGCAGCTGACCTTATAAGTACAGTATATATATATTGACAAAGCTAGTTTTTCTTATTTCTACAGCAGCCCGTGAGTAGTAGTAGTAGTAGCAGTAGTAGTAGTACATTGACTGGTAGAAAGGGCCACAGTCCAAATAGGCGACAGTCTAACCTAACCATGAGGAGTGTGGCAAAGTCCTTTTGGGTTCCAGTCTTAATGGATCTCCGTGTCAGAATAGGTTAGGTTAGGGTCTACTAGGAATGGGGCTTACTTGACATGTAACCCAGTAATTCAATGATGGGGAGGGGCGTGGCAGGGAGAGGGAGCCGAGGTGTGACTTGGACTCACCAGTAAGAAGTGATCCTCCTCTGACACGTCTCAAGTTCTCGCCACAAACGTTTTAACTTTAATACTTTCGTTTCTAATGAATTTAACCCTTGGACGTTTATTGATATGAGCTAAGGTGATACTCAATAAGATCAAAGCTATGTAATACTGTACTCGGTAAGGTAAGGGCTTTGTAATACTCAGTAAAATAAGGGTAAGGGTTTTAATACTCAGTGGGGTAAAGGGTTATAATACTCAGTGAGGTAAAGGGTTGTGTAATCCTCGGTGTAGGGTGTAGAAGCGGGTAAGGCGGTTACACTGGGAAGGAGAGCGGGACATCCTGGCCGTTGGTGTGAAGAACGTGAAAGTCTGTTAAGATCATTTGCATATTTCCCACGCTCCACCTTCCTGGTTCATGGCGAGTGATGAGGGGAGGGGTGGTGCCTGAGGCGGAGCTGGTGTGAGGGAGAAAGGGGGGACTGGCGTAAGGGAGGTGCTGGTGTGAGGGGTGGGGCTGGTGTGTTGGAGGATGGGGAATGTCAGGGCCGGGGTGGTGTACGGGGTAGAGCTGGGGAGGGGAGGGGCAGGGAGCTGGTAGTAAAGGGTTGGAAACATTATCTTGTTATTGTCATACAGTTTCTTGACTTAATGTCTGAAAGATAATTGATGGATATGATATTGAGAGAGAGAGAGAGAGTGTGGAGTGAAAACGGATATTTCTGTTCATCTATTTGTCTGTCTATACCTTTTTATCTACACACACACACGCACACAGCGCCAGGTTAGGGTCTTGTTAGACTTCGTTTGGCTTTGGTTGTCCAGTGGCCGGCACCAAGTAAATATTTGTATACCTTAGCGAGATAATGGTGATAACGGTGAGGCTGTCCCGTCACACTCGCTGCTGGTGACTGACCGATGACGTGGTTGTGACTGTATTCGTTGATTGGTGACCTACATTTGACTGTGAATGGTAATAAGCAGTAAATGTTTCTGTAGATGGTGACCACTTGGTGATGGACGAGTACCTGGGTAAAGGAGTAGCAGGTACCCGAGTGGTGACTGGCTGGTACCTCTTATTGGTACCTCCTGCGGGCATGGTGTGAACTGTACAATATTATGGTGGTATGCGGGAGGAAAGGAGAGGAGTAAATATGTGAGGAAGGTAGGAGGGAGGGAGGTAATGTATAAGACATGTAGTGTTGATGGAGCCGTAAAGGTGCACCACTCACCTGTGATAACATTGTCTGCCTCTATATTAACTATATGGTTTCTCCCCCAGGCTCACGTGAGGCGGGCGGTCACTAGCACAGTCACCAAGATGAGACTCCGCCCCGTGCTCTTGTGACGCCCCGCCCACCAAACTGCCACCCCGCCGACCCAGGCGAGGGCGGCGCCCACGGTATGGTGAAGCGGTGCCAGCGCCCACGCCCACGCCTACGCCTCTGATGACCCCAGGCCCCCGGGACGGCTCTATGCTCAAACACATGCTGACTGTGGCTGGACGACAGGCACACGGGGGCGGGGCGGCCAGGGGGAACACCCATGCCACCGACACACTGGAGGGCCGGCGCTCCCTCGGGGGCGGGGCCACGCAGGGACCGAGCGGGGCCACTCTACCTGGCCTCCACCACCACCACCACCTCCACCTCCCCGCCCAGCAGCACCACCACCCCATCTCCCCGGGCACCCTCAGTGTGAAGGTGAACGGCGCGGCGGGCGGGCGCCACCACCCCGCGCTCAACATGAGCTCTCTCTCCTCCTCGAAACACTCAGTGGGCGGCAACTCAGGGTCAGGCAGCCCGGGCACCACCACAGTGACGCGCACCACGGGGCTAGACCAGTCTCGTGACCACTCCCACCTCACAGACCTCTCCCATATCTCCCACCTCTCGCCCATCCCGCTCGCAGACCTCTCCAAAGGCACCATCGGCAGCAAGAGGTCCGCGGGGCTCATCCCTCGCTTCATCACCCTCACCAAGTCGACGGGATCCCGGGAGGCCCTCACTTCCTTGGGGCTCCTGTGTCTCACCTCCCTCCTGCTGGCGCTGCTGGCACTAACCTTCCTGGTGGAGCTCACGCCCCTCGCCCACGACGCGGACAGTGTGCAGGAGGTCACACTCGCCCTCGCCGCCCTCACATTATCACTCGACCTCAGCTGTCTTCTAATATGTGCCGCTCAGTTCATCTTCGCCATCAAGCTCGCCAAATCTCCCAACGGCGAGGAAAGGTGAGTAACATTATATGTGTACTGTAGTGTGTGTCCTCCCATCTGGGTCTGTGTGTTGTAGGGAAGGTTATTGTCGTCACAGTGCTACACGTAGCAGGTGTCACACCATAACAAAACTGGTCACTCAGTATCATGCCTACAGTTACCATAGCAGGTCAATATTCACTATAACTCGACATGTTAACAATCACCACACCATCACAGATCAAGTCACTATCACACTATCTTCACACATCAACCAGTCACTACACTGTAGCACGAACATTACACAGTGGAAGGCATCGGTCCAGAAAATCGCGTCTTTACCCAGTGTGTGCGTTATTTTTCCTGGCAAGAAGAATGTGATATCAATAAGGAATAGTAAAGGTTCCTACACATCTCCCTATTACGTAACTTTACACGTTTCAGAAACACATAGCAGTAATCAAGACCTATCCTTAGCACATACCACCAGAGCACCTCATATCAGTAGCCCATATGAGCGGCGACACAGCAGAAGGCGGGAGTGTAAGGTAAGGGTTGTCCCGCGTGGTGACCTACAGTAGTGGCAGGGCGCGCGGCCAGGGAGCGTGAGCGGGCAGTAGCGGTAACGGGACTGTCGGCATTCCTGGTGTACCGTGTAAACGTTGTACTCTGCCCACAGGTTTTAGCTCCTCTACCCAACACTGTCTCGTGATGCTTCAAGGAGACAGGGAGCATGTCAGATTCACAACCTGTACGATACTGTGTAGACCCATAGTGAGTGTATATGTATAAGGGTTCAGGTTTCGCATGACAATCATTTCTGAACCCATAGACTCGATGTAAACTCGCATTTGAGACACAAACATTTTCAACTTTGAATCCCTGACATAACCCCACAATCCCATGTTTTAGATTCCTTGTAATAAAGTTTGGTTGTGTATAAAACGAGGAAGAGGTAACTGGGGAAGATGGTGTCAGTAGCGGTAATGTGTCTGGTGGCTGGGGGAGTTTTTACCCCAGTTGCTGCCCCCGCCGGGTATAGAGGTGGACTCAGGGCCACCAGATTCCTCCCGTCTATACTCGCTCTGAAAAAAATAATTAAAAATGTGCCCTGCTCACCTGCCTGGCCCCGACCATATACAGTACACTTGTGCTAGAGGAGGTAGCTACAGGTAGTTTTGAAGTTACACACATATAGTAGTGATGGTAGCTACAGGTGTTTCTTGTTACACACATATAGTAGTGATGGTAGCTACAGGTGTTTCTTGTTATACACCTGTACTATTGGTGGGAACTACAGGTATTTCTTGTTATACACCTGTACTAGAGGATGTAGCTACAGGTGTTTTTGAAGTTATATACCTGTAGTAGTGGTGGTTAACTACAGGTCCGTATATGGAATAAATTATTATGTTAGACACTACTCTTCGTTAACTTTACTGTCTGGAATACTTACATACCCCCCTTTAGACCTATAATACATTACTCCCAATGGAAAAAAACTAAATCATAAACTACGCGTCGTGTTTTTGTGTGTGTATGGAAGTAGTTTGTTTTTATTGTATTTACTGTGTGTATATTATCATTGTGTGGGGGGGGGGGGGTAAAACTACGCCTCCAAGCACAAAACACCATTAGAGAAATCATGGGCCCCAGAGATACATATTTAGATAAAATAAAAAACTTCCTAACATGGGCTGTCCTATACAACTCATCGTCACCACAGTAATGCCTCACTACCGAGAGTGGGAACATAGTCAAAAGTCCTCATCCTACAACACCGTAATACTGTAGCTTAAACCTGTCTAGTTAAATACCCACAGTAGTGCACATCTCCCTGGAGGATCTGACTCGTGTCCTATACCCAGTACACCACACAGGGTTCTCTAATTGTGTTCCTGGCTGGTGGCAAAAACTGGTGGTGTGGTGGAGCGAGGGTGACGGGGTGGTAAGGAAGTGTTGGGGAGCAGTACTTTGCATAGCAGTGTTAGGGTAGGAGGGAGGGAGCCCAGGGTACGCAGTGGTAGAGGGAGGAGTGTTGGTCTCGACGTTCACCTCTACTGCCCGCTTATTTACCTGCACCACCATCACCACACTCCCTCATATCCTTCTCTCCCTCACTCACCCTTCCTCCTTTCCTACCTTTCTCCCTCATTCCTTTCTTCCTTACTTTCCTATTACATTCCTTCCTTCCCAACCTCCCTGCCCTCTTCCTCGCCAACCTTCCTACCCCTCTCCCTCCTTTCTGTCTTCCTTCCTTCCTACTCGCTCTCTGTCTCCTATTTTCCGTCCAACATCCTTTATCTGCCGTCATCTCTCACCATCCTTTCACTCTCTTACAGCTGGCCACATCGTACACTAGTCCTGGCGTCACTCCCCGACTCCCCCCGTGTTTATGGTGACCTTTAGGTGGTGTGTTGACTGTTTTAAGGTCCTTCCTACGACGGCCGTCCCATGGTAATCAACCCACCGTGGTCCACCCCGTTCGTTCATTCCTTCACCACATAATCCTTCCCGATATATTTTTTCTTCTCTATACAACCAGTCACTCGATTCGCTTGGGACTAAAACTGTGGCTTCCTCTTGTGAATCCTCAGAACTTGTCACAGTTTTGAGCCGTCAGTTATAGCTCTTGGGAGTTAAATTTTGTCACACACGCTGTCAGAATTCGGAATCAAAACATTCATGTAAATGTTAGTGTGAGGTGAGATGAGTGTTGTGAAGGGCGGAAAAGTAGGGAGTTGTTGTGTTTACATCAGTAGAGGTGTGAATAAGGTTGTGCTGGCCTGGGTTAGGTTGTGCTGGCCTGGGTGAGGGTGTGCTGGCCTGGGTGAGGGTGTGCTGGCCTGGGTGAGGGTGTGCTGGCCTGGGTGAGGTTGAGCTGCTCTGAGTGAGGATGTGGGGGAAGGGGGATTCACCTACCCCAGCTCGGAACACCAGTAGTAAGTGGTCTGTATATTTGGTATTCGTGGAGGGCAGGTTCCGGGGATGGTCATTACATGCTGGGTCGCGGCCTCGGGAGTTCGCAGGGCCTGAGGGCGGCGAGTGTGGTGGTAGTAATTGTGGTAGTATTGGTGGTGGTGGTAGTTGTGGTGGATGATGATAGTGATGGAGTGTCCCGGTAGCTGGTGTTCACACAAGGTCTGGGGTGTGATGTAGCCACCACCACGACACACACACACACACTGTCTATTAAGCGTGTGTAAGGCTTCACCGTGTTAGATTCCTCTATGATCAATATTCTGTCGGGTTGTGCTGTATACCATCGTGTCTCATGTTAACTTTAAGACTGTCTCATGCTTACACTGGCTGGAGAGGGACTACTACGGGGGAAATCAGTTATACGTCTCAGGTGTATATTATCGTAAACAAACAAGGTAAACCTACGAATGTCTGAACGGGCCCCAGTCCTAATAGGCCCTAACCAAACCTCACCAGATCTGACCTCTTGCGAATACGGGTATCCTGGTGAGAGCTATTTGAACGCAAGGCTCTGGGATCCTCGTCACCATGGAGAGAAAATACTGCTATCTTATTCTTCCTAGGTCGTGTTGGCTTATATCAATACATCAAGTTTCCTCGAAGTCTGTTTCTGTTTCCTCATTGATAGTCGAAACTGCTTGATGATATTGAGTCATGAGTTGGACATGGGATCTAATCATAGAATTAATTGCCATCGTCACGAACGTCGGAGGAACACGAACCTCGCCCGGCGGAGCACCAGCAGGAGTGGCGGCGGTACCTCCTCCCCTCTTTTAGATAGTAACACCCATCATGGTACAAATTTTACTGGGCCTTGATATCTCTGCCTGGGAGACGACACCATCCACTAGCAACTGAGGAGGTGGTGGGTGGTCAAATAGGTATACCTTAATGGGCCCCAGTCCTTACAATTAGGATAGGTTAGGTTGGGGCCTATTAGAACAGGAGACCCAATTGACCTGTGACCATGGGGAGTTAATTTTAAATGACCCAGACATGAGCATAAGAGTAAGTCGCTTACTTGTAATGGTCATTGTGGTGCGGTGTTCAGTGGTAACTATGAGATGGCCAGATAAGCCGCCGGTGTTACTGTGCGAGGTGTGAGTAGTTCTTCAGTGATATACCTGGATGGTGGAGAGATGGGTGGTGATGTGGGAGGGAGGGTGGTGGGTGGGTCCTGTTGTTCGCCACACACCCACACACATCTCCCTCCTGGCCCTGATTGTCGACCTTTACTGCCTCATTGAAGATTATATCTCCTCTTACGTGCACCCGTTTAAAAGGTCTTGTGAAGGGTGTTGTGGCCGTAACACGCGCTGACCGTGGTGCATCCTCAGGCACGTTCTTCTGTTACCGCCTTTAGATCCAGTTCCTCTATCAACACCATTATATAAGATGACTTAACTCCTTCAGTATGATGCCAACCACCCGAGTACAATCCACTAGTCCGTTGTTTATGATGTCTTCAACACCTGAGTACGGTAATGGAATATCTTGAGTACAATTCATTCCTTCAATACGATGTCGTAATCAATTGGATATACAGTGCATTACAGACTTGTTTGTTTGAGTACGGTGAGGTTACACAAGAGACTGCCATCATGTTGAGGGCCCCATATCTAACGATTAAGTTCGGTTGAGGTCCATTAAACCTGTACTCACCGTCCCTTTCCTCTCCCCCTGTGTCTAGGCTAATGATCCCTCCTTCACACTAACATTGCCGGACACACACACACACAGTTGCTGGCCACAACATAGCACCATCACCATCTCTCCTTGATAACGGGATATAACTTATCTGCTACTGATCTGTTGACCTTGTAGAGCCCCCACTCGACCTTGTGTTAACTCCCATTAACCCATCGTTCTCAGTGACCTGTCTTGACCCCTGACTCCTTGTGTTGTTGACATTGTTTTTGTTGCATATATTATAAGTATTGTTTTATTGTTGGTATTATGATAAGAATGGTGATTTATTACTATGCTTATTACCAGTGCCATTGATAGTACTGTTATCATCAGCTTAGTGGTCTGGGGTAGCTGGGAGGAGGCTA